AGAGCCTTTTTTTCCTTTAAATGGCTCTGATGAGCCAAGCTCTGACGATCCCAGATGAGTTGCCTGCTAATCAGGCAACTCAGCTTGGATTGTCAGACCCATTTAAGAGAAAAAAAGTTCTTTTCTTTTAAATGGCTCTGATGATCCAAACTCTGACGATCCCAGCTGAGTTGCCTGCTAACTAGCAAAAATCCCTCTCCCCCCTGCCCCCCAGCCTCAAGCTTGCTTACCTTAGCTGCTGGTTGCAACACCTGCCTTGCTTCGCTTGCTGTAATCCCTGCAATCCATTGCATCAGCAAGCAACTGAATCTCCCTGCCTGCAATCAAGCTCATTGGTGAGCAGCTCTATCTGCCTGCCTGCCTTCCTGCCTGCCTTGTACCTTCTTATTGCACGGGACTCCAACCTTGGCAACTTTAAGACTTGTGGACTTCAACTCCCAGCAAAGCTGGCTGAGGAATTCTGGGAGTTGAGGTCCACAAGTCTTAAAGTTGCCAAAGTTGGAGACCCCTGTTCTATTGGTTAAGTTTTTTTCTCCTTTGGGAGCTTTAAAAAAAATAGTTAATTGGGTTTTTTTTTAGTTGTTCTTTTTTTAGACCTAGCCATTTAAAGTTTAGGAAGTTTTAAATTTAGCTGCTTTTATATAAAAATAAATTAAAATAAAATAATATTTGTGCAGCTTTCTGAGATTTAGTGTGTTTCTGTAGTGTTTCACTCTAACTACACAAACATACAAAATCTCACAAAGCTGTATGTGGAATTTTGTGTGTGTAAAGTGTGAAAGTTGGTTTTTTTTGGGCTTTTTGTGGCTGTGTGAGGTTCCTGCTTGTTGCAGGGCCATTTTGGGTCTAGCACAGCTGCTTTTACATTGTGGATGAGCCAGTTGTGTTGTGTTGTGTTGTGTGTGTGTAAAGTGTGAAAGTTGTTTTTTGGGCTTTTTGTGGCTGTGTGAGGTTCCTGCTTGTTGCAGGGGCAAATTTTGGGTCTAGCACAGCTGCTTTTACATTGTGGGTGAGCCAGTTGTGTTGTGTTGTGTTTTGTAGGTTAAAAAAGGGCAAAGAAGTGACATTGACTTGGCCACGCCCACCCAGTCTTCTTACCACCAAGCCACGCCCACTAATTAAGCCACGCCCACAGAACCGGCAGCAAAAAAATTTAGATTTCACCCCTGGTGCAGGGCGTTTTTCCTATCATGTGATTTGTTACTAAATGAATTAATAGAACTCATTCATACATATTGTTAATTACCTACAATTAGGTCAATGTAATGACTTCATTATAATGCTGAATCAAGCAGGAGTCCCTTTTTTTCATTCCTGTAGTCAAAAATGTCTTTATTCATTACCTGCCATTCCTCACTATATATTATAAGCTATAGCCTGCTTATGGCCAAATAATCAGACTACAGTAGTAAAGAAGAATTAAGTCTTTACATATAATTGCACAGGCATAAAAACAGTCCTGTTATTAAATTAAAAGTTCAATAAAAGTTTGAATGCCACCGAAATAGTAGGAAGGCATTCTTCTGATCTTTTAATTTAAAATATGGTGAACTGGGAGTCCTCCAGAAAATGGTGCACCAAGCAGTGAGGTGATATTTTTTCCTGCTGACAAACAGCTGACTTTGCCACCAAAGCCAATTTTTTGGTGGCATGCTCTCCAGATTTGAACAGGAACAACCAAAAATAACCCAAGACAACCCTCAGATGGCTATGTACTTGCCTATGAAGAGCAATCTTGATTATTATAATTCTCGGTAAGAGAGGTTGCAATCGGGTCTCCATCTTTTCCTGTCAGCATTTGTTCTTTTTAGGTGCACCTTGGTTTTAACATAACATTTCAAGTCTGTGGGATTTCTTTAATTATTATTTTTATTTTTGCTTTTTCGGCTTACATCTTTAATTGTTAATCAACTGGTTGAATGCTGATTTATCCTATAAACCCTCGCTGAATTTTAAACATGATTTTTTTGTTTCTTTTTACTGTTTTATTTTGAAGTTATAAAACACTTTACTTTTGCTTCATGGAAGTCCATAAGCTTTCATACACATATGCATTCTACAAAGTAAACTGTATTTCATATAATGGTGATAACTTCTAAATAAATACCCATTAGATAAGATTGTCACTCCATAGAACAAATGTGAATATTTAGAACGTGTATTAGTGAAAATGGAATTATGATTCATTGGAAGATCTTCCCATGCTGGCTGGGGAATTCTGGGAGTTGAAGTTGAAGTTGACATAAAGTTGTTGTTGAGAAACTCTAACTCAAGGTATGGAACTCCTGTAATTTTTGTGTTTTAGATTTTTTTTTTTGGTTTTCATCTGGTTTTCAAATGCTTTTATTTGTATTGACTTGTCTTGGAGATAATTATTTCTAATGTGTTTTGAATGGATGGATATTTTTGAAACTAGATTTTAAGATTTTTCAGCTTGGCAAGTTGGGTTTGACAAAGTTTGTCCTGAAAAGCAACCAGAAGCATTAGTTGAGAGCGTAAAGCCATGAGAAGACAGCTTCCTGCACTTTTGGAAGCAAAATGAAATGCTGTGCACTTACAAAGAATTCCAGTTCCAGCTGGCAATAAATCCACTTTTCAGGATGAAAACCTCTAGGTTCACTTCTTAAAGGCCAATGTTTTTCAAGAGATTTTACATGTGTTGTAAAATATAGGAATGTGTGATACACTCTGTGCACGTACACCAATTTGCCTTATAGGCATTTCCCTTTTTATCTACATACTATCCAAGCCACCTGATTTTAATTTTTAAGCATTAGAGAAGCAGGCAGGCTGTGAAACCAAAAGCCAACTTCCAGAATTGTCTTTATTTCAAGGAAAACCTCTGGGCCCCACACAGTCTTTCTCAAAATTCCTGGGAGCTAAACATGGCTGATGGCCTGGCCCATGTTTCGTTGGGAAACAGGCCCATTCACTCAGGGAGAGAGGAAAACAAGGAAGCAGGAATGGCAGTCAACAGGTTTTAAGAGGGTAGTACTTTCCCTGATGAAGGGACGTGGTGGCTCAGTGGCTAAGATGCTGAGCTTGTCAATTGAAAGGTCAGCAGTTCAGCGGTTCAAATCCCTAGTGCCGCGTAATGGGATGAACTCCCGTTCCTTGTCCCAGCTTCTGCCAACCTAGCAGTTCGAAAGCACATAAAAAATGCAAGTAGAAAAATAAGGGCCACCTTTGGTGGGAAGGTAACAGCATTCCATGCGCCTTTGTTGTTGAGTTATGCCGGCCACATGACCACAGAAAGGTCTTTGGACAGCGCTGGCTCTTCGACTTTGAAACGGAGAAGTGCACTGCCCCCTAGAGTCGGGAACGACTAGCACATATGTGCGAGGGGAACCTTTACTGTCTCTGATAAAAGGACATTATTTCCACCAGGGTGGATTTGATTTAAATTGAGTTGATTTAAATCACAATTTAAATCATGATTTAAATCACTAGTAAAAAGGCTTGATTTAAATCAACTCGATTTAAATCATAATTTTTAAAGAGCAACTTGTCATCTCTGCTATTCCTTTGACCCACTGTTGACTCACCGATAGTCCCAGTGTTGCAGAATATACAGCCTCATGCTACATAACTAAGCTCCATTTCATGCTGAATAAACTAAATTATTTATGTATCTTAAATAGAAAACTATCTTACGATAGATTTTACCCCAAAAGTTTTTTATTAAAATAAATTCGATAAAAATCAAAAAAATCCGATTTAAATCAAAAAAATCTGATTTTTTTGTTTTTTTTAAAAAAATCATTGATTTTTATCCACCCTGATTTCCACTATGGGAGCTATTCTGTCAATTAGCAAGATCTTCTTCCTTAATAACCACAACTTGCTTTTAAATTTTTAGATAGCTTCACATCCCAAAACTATTTTCTCCTCATAGACTACACATTTAGAGTACATACAGGGATTGATTATTTATTTATTTATTTATTTCTATTTATTGTATTTTATTTGTTTGTTTGTTTGTTTGTTTCCCATGGGTAATTTCCAAACTCTGGACCATTTTAAGTTTTGCTTTGATCACTGTTTCTTAAATGATTTCCCCCCTCAGGATCCATTCACACTTTTAAAAAATTTCTGATGGCATGCGAGCCATCATCCCAGTTCAGCTTCGCTTTGCATGCGTGCATGCCTCCTACAGGCTAGCTGGTCTTTGCAGCTAGCCTGCCACACATGCGAGGGCGCGGGGCACATGTGGGGGTGGAGCATATGCACGGGGCCGAATGCACATTGCATTTTGGGGGTTTGGGCATGTGTGTGCACTTTGGGCACTCGATCCGGAAAGGTTAGCCATCACTGTCCTACACCATCTCTGTAATAGTAAACTTATGAAGATGGATCTTGGTTTTACATCTTAGGTCCGCATCAGTTATTACTAGGTATGATCATTACTTGATTATTGCTAGGTATGGCTCTAGTACAGAGGTCTTCAAGCTATGCTGGCTGGAGAATTCTGGGAGTTGAAATCCACAAGTCTTAAAGCTGCCAAGTTCAGGGACCCCTGATCTAGTATATTAGAGTCTCTAGCAAGACAAAGCTAGCTGAACTTTCAGAAGATAGAGCCAAAAAGAAACAAAAACGGGACCAGTTATTCACCAGGAAGAGATACTGGAAAACTAGCTAGAATATAGGGATAGTTGGTTTATATGAAATCTACTTGGACGTGACCATATAATGATGAACAGAGTGTTTTAATGTTGCATCAACATGTAGCTAGGAATGTTGAGATTGATAGTTTCTTCAAAAATTAAAAGTATTTTAAGAGCTATTTGGTTAACAAAATAGATCATGTTACCCAGCCAGCCTCAAGGACTTGGCTTCTGGTCCCTAACTGTGGCTGTTAAATTATATGTTGTATGAAGCACTTTTGATGGACATAGTTATAGAAGCCAATCTGTTATAGTGGACAAAAACAGACCTCTCAAAACCCACGCTTATTAAATTCAAGACATTCCTATAAGAGACAGAAAATATGACCACATAAGAACATTTCTTGGCTTTATTACAGTGGTGTGCGAGCAATCTTTCTGAAGATGTTGGGCAGGAAATATGATTTTGAAAGAAATGCTATCCATCATAACCAAGCCTGAAATTGAGCAGAAACAGACAGTTAAGCCCAGTTAGCCTGACTTACACACAACTACATACCAAATTTAATTGGGATTTCTTGCAAAAATGTTCAATGTGTCTTCCTTTGCAAAAAAGAAAAAATACAGCATGAGAAAGTGGAAATATTTGAAGAAAATAAGCCAAGCTAGGAATGAACTTCAACCCAATGAAAGAGTTCATACTTTACAATCCAAATTGTAAATACAATTTACAAGGTCTTAAATTCAAACTTTGCTATCTCCTGCAGGTAGAGTTAATTTATATATATCTTTTTAATTGTATTTTAATGTTTGTAGTTTATGGTTTTACTTGGCTGTTCACCGCCCTGAGTCCTCAGGGAGAAGGGCGGTATACAAATTTAAAAATAAATAAATAAAATAAAATAAATAATGAGTAAGACTTGTGCTAAGCAGCCACCACTAGTTAGAGTTGACAATATTGGACTAATTTAACCAAATATAAAACATCTTTATTTCTGCTTTAGAAATACATGCAGATTAATCTTCTTAATTGTATTTCATTTCAGTATAAATGAAATTAATCAACCATTCATTTCTTTTTTCTGGCTTTGCATAATTTTGAAGTGCAGTCCCTAGTACATCACTCAAGAGCTGAGTGAAAAAGAAAAGTGAAAAAGAGCGAAAAACAGCCTGTTTTTGGCCATTTTCCAGGCGATTTTCTGAAAACAGGCTGAAAAACAGTCGAAAACAGCCTGAAAAATAGCCGAAAATGGCCTGTTTTTGGCCATTTTTCAGGCTGTCTTTTCGGCCGTTTTTCAAGGCCATTTTTTGCTTGAAAAACAACTGAAAACTGCCCGAAAAATGGAGGGGGAGCCAGTCGGGGATATGCCTTCATATCCTTTCATATCCTGTCCAAGTTCACAGGAGGTGAGATGTCTGACATTTTGGTGCCATCAGCTCTTGAATGATGTACTGGGGACTGCACATCAAAATTATGCAAAGCCAGAAAAAAGAAATGAATGGTTGATTAAATTCATTTATACTGAAATGAAATACAATTAAGAAGATTAATCTGCATGTACGTAATCAACTCTCTGTTCTTGCACACTGAAAATTACAATTCCATGTCAACTTTTGGAAGAGCTATGAAGGCAAAGATGGAAGCCTTCTTTGATGTGGAAGTTACCCTGAAAGTGTAGACATGATTTGCACTTTTAAATTCTTAGTTATCATTCCTTTAATCTGTGTGATGGATGTGTGTCTGCATTTCCATTTCTCTGTTTCCTCTCTTTGGATAAAACTAGTCAACAATTGTCCTCTCATATCACATCTATTTCAAATTTTAAGAGTTGGCTGGCAAAGTAGGTGGGGAAAAGTTGGAAAGGCAAAGCAGTATTTTAAGACAATTTGTTGCACGTATTTTTTGCCCACTGTATCCCATAATAAACACAGCATCCCTGTTTTTGTTTTCAAGTAAATGAACTCATTCTTTGGGTAGTAGGTTATCCTGGTAGAGAAAAAAAATACATATTTAAAAATGGCAACCTGAAATTTTCAGGATCTATCGAATCTAAACTAGCCCAAAGTGTGAACCATTAAGCTATTCTATGAAGAATTTGTAGGCTCTACACCAGCCTTTCTTAGCTAATTCCTCCTAAATGGGAAGATATATAAATTGCTTCCTATTGGAGTAGAACCTTGTCTTTTGTTAGATATCCAAGATAGTCCAAACACAGCCAGGAGAATTAGCTTTATCTTAATTGTAAAGTTACGTTAACAGAATCTCTCTTTATTTTTTTGAAAATTAGGGACGGTCTCTTCTGAAACATTTCTGATGTAACAGAATAAACAGAGTTGGAAGGGAGCTTGGAGGTCTTCTAATCCAACTCCCTGCTCAGTCAGGAAACCCTATACCATTTCAGACAAAAGATTGTCCAATCTCTTCTTAAAAACCTTCAGTGTTGCACTAAATTGATTGTTTTGATCAAAGAAAAGAACATAAGTACTTTTGTTGGTACATGGAGACTGTTTCTAGACTTTGTGCTAGGATGGGAAAAAAATGAACTTTGATTTTCATTTTTTGATTTGACAAGAAGATTGATTTGTCATTATAGAAATGGCTAGTTTATAATATTATGAAAAAGTAAAAAGTTGAGATTAAAATGCTAATGTTTTATTCTGCTGCAACAAGGGGAGTCAGAAGTCAAAGCCTTTTTTTTTTCTCCCTTCCCTCCTCACTTTTCTGTCCCCTTCTCCTCCCCACTGTGTTCTACTATTTGCTTTTGTATTTTTGTATTTTATTTTATAATTTAATAAAATCTTTTAAAACCACGGGTGTCAAAATCACCATGTCACGTTGCCGTCACATCATATTTCGTGATGTTTTCCCCATTCGTGGAACTGGAGTGGCCGGGGCCTGTGTGTGATGCATCCAGCCAGCCTGTGGGCCACTATTTTAAACTTTAAAAAACCTCCAGTGTTAGACCACTCACAACTTCTGGAGGCAAGTCATTCCACTGACGAATTATTCTAACTGCCAGGAAATTTCTCCTTAGTTCTAGATTGTCTTCCTTACTTCTGTGGCCTGAGGTACCTTTTACATACTGTGGTCCAGTCTGCAACTTCTTACTTCTGTTCTCCAAGGTCATTCCCACATACCAAGTTCCTTCATTGAATTAGGCTGTGGAGCAAATGGAACAAAGGTAGGAATTCAAAATTTAAATGCTGAAATGGCTGTGAAGAAATCTTACCTGCTTTTATCCACTGTGGGGGTTATGTTTATATTTGTGAACGTTCCCTTTCAGTTTGCTTCATGCCTAAAATGGAATTAGAATTCACAGTCTCCCAGTTTTTAGCCTGATGGTCTACCTTTACATCTATCTGGCTTGGTTCTCTATGTACATTTTTATATAATATATATATAAATTGGGATTTCTTTTACTGTCTCACTCACAGGTGTTTTAAGGGTATTGTCAGGACTGAGAGTTGGGAAGCCTATGTTTACAAGGTAGAGAAGATGGATATCACATAGGATTTTTTTATTTTTATTCCCATTTTTTGCCTACCTTCTCTTACTTGCTGAGAGGGAGTCATTTTAAATTCAAGGTCATCCTCCTTACAAATAAATATGTGATGGCTTCACAGTCATGAGTATTTTGGTAATGCTCAAGATCACATAAACCTGCAGCACTAATCCAACCTTTGGCTCAATATTGTTTATTCCATCCTTGTCCCACTCTGATGTCATGCAGATGTGTTGGCCTTCAACTTCTTCACTTTCCAACCACCAGGAGTGTACAGCTGGAAGGAGCTGTTTTGTCTACTCCTGATGTGCCAACAATCAAAAAATTCACTTCATAACTTCCAAGAGAAAGTACCCTGAACTGGAGTAAGAATTGAATTGGTATTATTTTTTTAAAAAAACTATCACAATATTATTAAGCTCAATAAATTTTGGATGCATGGTTCATTTGTGAAGGACTCTGAAGACGCTTGCGTTGTGCTTTAAAAAGGGCCATGATTGTTTCTAAACATATGACCTGGGAGAGTTGTGCCAAAATTCCTGTGGGAACAAGGAACACTGCAAATAACCCTACATAATATTTTCACTATTTTCTATTTTCAGACCTGCGCTTCAGACCTGTAGTCAACCCACATGCTTTTGTTCCATAATTTATGGCATTCACAATTTATGGATAAGGCACAAGTTCTGCACAAAGAAAGCAAAGAAGGGAAAAGGTAGAAAGGAAGAACTGGCAAAGGGTAAAGACACGAAGAGCCAGTTTCAGACTCTGTCTGAAAGGCTGCATTATCCAGCTGTGGAACAGGAGCTGGAAAAATAATGAGCATTATCACTACTGAGTTCAGACATCGTACTGACAAGAGCATTCATAAGGGAGACCAGCAACTACCGTGTTTCCCTGAAAATAAGACAGGGTCTTATTTTCTTTTGACACCCCACCCCAAATAAGGGCGCAGCCTTATTATCAGGGGCTTTATTATTTTGGGGGGACAGGAGGCAGCGAGCATGGTACTGGATGTCCCATCACTGCTGTCACCTCCCCTCCATGTTCTTCGTGCCGGCGAGCAGCCCAACACATCCCACCCTATCCCAATGGCAACAGTTGCTTCCCTTCCCCACCGTCTCTTTATTGAGAGGGGTGGCAGGAGGGGCAGGGGAGAAGTGAGATGCATGGAGCGAGACGTGGCTCTCCCTTGCTGTCCCTTCTCTTCCCCCCCTCCTGTCCAGGCATGACAGGCCTCCTGCCCCTCGCTTAACCACCCGCCCCCTTTAGGAATGCAATTTGGGGCTGGCAGGTAGGGCAGGTGAGAAGCGGGACACATGTCTTACCTTTCCAGCTCCATCATGTTCCTCACCATTGTGCCCAGGGAAACACATTGTAAAAGAAAACCTTATTGCGAGTTCAATCAAACTTCTCAAACTCATGAAAAGGTTTTCTTTTAAAGCGTGTTTCTCTGGACACAGCGACAATAAAAGCGATGGACCTTGAAAGGTAAGATGGGTATCTCATGGCCCAACATGTCCCACCCCACCCAAATGGCAACAGCAGCCTGGCTGCTTCCCTTCCCCGCCATCTCTTTATCAAGAGGGATGGCAGGTGGGATGGGGGAGAAGCAAGACATGTGGAGCGAGATGTGGCTGCCCTTGCTGTCTCTTCTTCCCCCCCCCTCTTGCCAGGCATGGGAGGGCTCCTGTCCCTTGAGGCACGAAGACGAATAGCTTGGGAGGTAATAAGCAAAAAATTTAAAAACCGTTACTCCCCTATGCCATCTGTGATAGCGAGGCTGCATGCCTTTTATCACAGAAACCAAAAAGAGGGAGAAAAGATCAATCAGTATATCTCCTCACTATGAGCCACGGCTCTTTACTGGGAGTTTGAGAATTTAGACAATGCCTTATGGGACAGGCTTACAGATCTCCGCTTACAGCACCATCCACTGACTAAAATGGTGCTTCCGCTACAATTGGCTTTAGATGAAGCCAGAGTGGCAGAGCTATCCAACATGTCAGCTTCTGAAATACAGCTAACAAATACCTCAGGTTCTGCCGCCAAAACTGAAGCTGTCCATTCAGAAACAGCAGAGATAAAAGGAGACCCAAAAGATGATGAAGAAGAAGAGGTTCACCACCTCAAGCTGCCCACCAGCAACAGTGAAAGCAAAGAAAAACAAACTCCCCAGAACTCATTTCTCAGCTGCGGAGGAAACCACTACATGCAAGTTCAGAAACACAAATTGCCTCAGGTGTGGACAGAAGGGACACCTGGCGAGAGTCTGCAGAGCCCCTCAGCCCACCTCGGGGCCCACAGCCATTTTTTAGGAAGCTTCCCTTTAAAAATTCAAACAGGGGAGAAGGCTGCTATACCATCACTAAGGATAGATACCTTCCTGAAGCAATAATTGGACAAACAAACAATGATAGAAAGAAAAAAAATTGTATTAGTGTCAAAATTGAGGGATCCCCATGTAAAATGGAGGTAGACACAAGGTCATCCATGTCCCTGATGTCCTAGAGTTCTATCAAGCAATTGGTTCCCAAAATCTCCAAAAAGGTAATTAAAACGTGCCCTATTAAATTACATGATTACCAAGGCAGGCACATCCCTATCCTGGGTACCTGCAAGTTCCAAATTCAGTATGGGAAGTTCACAGGGCAGTTTCCGCTCATCATAGTGGAGGATTCTCTCCCAAGCTTTTTAGGGCTTGAATGGTTTCATTCATTAGGCCTCTCTATCTCTGGCATCCACAACATCAACAAATCTGTCATATCAGACCTAGTCAAAGAGTTTGATACAGTCTTCACTGCCGGCCTGCGTAAGTACAAAGGAAAACTCCTTTCCTTTGACCTAGATCCCCAGGTAACGCCCATCCGTTTGAAACCCAAGCAAGTACCTTTTGCTCTCAGGACTAAAGTAGGCGAAGCCATAGATAAATTATTAGCGCAGGGCATCCTCAAGGCAGTAGACCACCGCCTATAGCCATACCTGTAAAACCTGTAAAACCTGATGGTTCTGTCCGAATCTGCGCTGATTATAAGTGTACCCTTAATAGGGCACTCCAAAATAGTGCGTATCCTGTGCCGGTTGTGCAGCATTTACTGCACTCCCTGCGGGAGGGCAAGATATTTGCCAAATTAAACCTTACTCAGGCCTACCAGCAAATCCCTGTAGACTTCACCACAGCTGAAGCACAAACTATCTTTATGCATAGGGGAGCCTTTAAGTGCCATAGGCTTCAATTTGGTGTCAGTGTAGCCCCAGCAATATTCCAATGCTTGATGGAATGACTACTCCAGGGCATCCCAGGTGTTGTCCCCGATTTTGATGACATCCTGGTATCTGCAGAAAATCTAGCCCAACTGACAGAACGTCCTAGGGCCGTTTTACTTAAATTTCTAAAGGCAGGGCTTACTTTAAAACGTGAAAAATGCAAATTGGCTGTACAGGAGGTAGAATTCTTGGGATATAGGGTAGATGCCTGAGGCCTGCATCCTACCAATGCAAAGGTAAAGGCCATACATGAGGCCCCAACTCATGTATGTACGACTGATCCCGGAACACCGTACCGTCCGCCGGGCCCTGAAGACTTTTTTATTTCAGCAAACTGGGCTGGGTTAAAAATCTTTTAATTGGGAAATTTTATGGGTAAGGGGTTTTAAATTGGGGAAGCCAAAGATAAATTTAATTTCGTTTTAAAGTATTTTAATATTTGTACTGTGTGTTTTTAATTTTGGCTGTTCACTGCCCCGAGTCCCCCGCAGTACAAGAACAAATGTTGGGGTTTTTTTGTTTTTTTTTGGGGGGGGGAAAACCTTTATTAACACTTAAAATCCAAAAATACAAGTTAAAATACCTCTATAACAAAAATATATCCATAATAATTATACAATTCAACATCTTTCTGACAGTACTTAATTCTTAACTTTCTTCATCTATTCCCACATGTTCCTACTTAATCGACATATTTAATCACATTTTATATCTTATTTTGTTATTTTGTTATTTTGTTCCTTATTTTTCATTTCTATCCATTGATACCAATTATCCCAAGTTAAGGAATATTCCAAGTCTTCCTTATTGTTTAATTCTAAAGTAAGTTTGTCCATTTCTACACATTCGAAAGTTTTCCGGATTATTGCACAGTCTGTTGGAATAGTGGACATTTTCCAAACTTGCGCAAGTACAATTCTAGCTGCTGTAGTTATATGAATAATTAAATATTTTATCCTTTTAGAATAATTTTCTTTAATAATCCCCAGAAGAAACAGTTCAGGTTTAAATTCTATTTTATAGTGTGTAATTTCTTTTAGCCATTTTTGTATTTTAATCCAGAATTTTTTAACTTCTGGGCAAAGCCACCATACATGGAAGTAAGTGCCTTGTACTTGATTGCATTTCCAGCAATTAGGTTTTAAGTTGGGGTACATTTTTGCGAGTCTTGTTGGGGCTAAGTGCCACTGATAGAACATTTTATACTGGTTCTCTTTATATGCAACGGATTTTGTTAATGTATAATTTTTCTCCCATATTTTTTCCCATTCTTCTAACTCAATGTTTTGCCCAATATTTTTTGCCCATGCTATCATTGGTCCCTTTACAATTTCTTCTTCTAAGTCAAAATTTAATAAATAATTATATATTTTAGATAATAACTTC